CTCCATGTTTTTATTGGTTAAATATTAATGTAAGCAGTTACATTTCCTTTTTTATTTTTTATTTTTTTTTTTTGAGACAGGGTTTCTTAGTGTAATAGCCCTGGCTGTCTTGGAACTCACTTCGTGGGCAAGACTGTCCTTGAACTCACAGAGATCCACCTGCCTCTGCCACCAGCTTGCTGTGATCCAAAGTGTACACCACCACTCCCGACCCCTTTTATTTTGAAATAGGGTCTCATATTGCCCAAGCTAGCCTCACATTTTCTATATAGCTGAGGATGACCTTGAACTTCTGATCCTCCTGCCTTCTTCTACCAAGTGTTGGGATTACAGGCATGTACCATCATACCAGTGTATGTGGTGCTGGGGATCAAATCCAGCGTCTCAAGCATGCTGAGCAAGTGCTGTATCACTGAACTACAGCCCACTCCTACATTGATGCTTTAAATAGAGGGAAGAGCTCAACTGAAAGGCACTTTGAATCCTGAGAGTAAATAACATCCCTAGAAAGCGCAGATCCTTAAGACTACTCAAAGCTCTCGCCCAAATGCTGCTGCTTATTAGGGAAACGGGAGGAGGAGAGAAGCAAGTGTTTGGTCGAAGAGCAGCCGGATGAAAAGCAGGAGTGATGGGGGCACGCGTTGCCTCGCATTCATGGATGGGCTCCACAGGACTCACCTTCTGAAGCTGCTTTATAAAGCCTGTTCTGTACTTAGGAGGCAGAGGCAGGCAGATCTCTGTGACTTTGAGGCCAGTCTGGCCTACAAAGTGAGTCCAGAATAGCCAAGGCTACACAGACACAGGCAAACCCTGTCTCTAAAAACAAAAAAAACGAAAAGCTGTTCTCCTTGTGAAGCTTTCCAGAGACTGAACCTGTAAGTCACTGAGGCTTTCCCAGCACTAAGGATAGTGCCAGGCACACAATATTCTTTTTGTTGTTGTTGTTTTCTGAGACAGGGTTTCTTTGTGCAGCCTTGGCTGTCCTGGATGTACTTTGTAGACCAGGCTGGCCCCGAACTCACAGAGATCTGCCTGCCCCGGCCTCTCTGACTGGTGGGATTACAGGTATGCTCCAGGACACCCGGCTAAGCACACAATATTATGAAATCACTAAAAAAAAAAAAAAAAAAAAAAAAAAAGATTTTATATTTATGTGAGTCCATGTGTGTGCATGCATGATCTTGTGCTTGAGGGGGTTAGGAGGAGGTGTGAAAACATATATGTAAATGTGCATGAAACTGTCAAGGAATACGAGTTACTCTGCAACATCAGTAGTTGATCTCTTTAGAGCAGCAGGGCGGTGTGTTCACCAGCTACGGAACTCTTGGTTTTGCTCTTTCAGCCTCCTCCCACCTCCTTTTTTTTCTTGTGGTGGAGTTCTTTTACCATCTGGAGAAGCTGTGAAACCAGAATGGAGAGGAGCTTGCAGGCTAGCCCGTGAACCCATACCCCAGGTCCCACTGTGGGTTTACACGTGAGGAAGTCAGTCCTCCCTGCCAAGGTCACCCGTCTTGGAGATCCTGAGAAGGGTCTCTCCTGCTCTCTGCGATGCTCAGCAGGGGAGGAGGATAGTGGTGGCAGGCTGGGGTCCTGCTGGTGGAGGCAACTGCCACACACTGATAGGTTGAGCAGAGAGGAACCTATGACTCCAGAGCTCTATGGTTTGGCACTCAGGGAGCAGAGACAGTCGGATCTCCATGAGTCTGAGGCCAGCCTGGTCAACAAAGAGAATCCAGAACAGCCAAGGCTGCACAGAGAAGCGTCTCAAAAAAAAACAAAAAGCATAACACAAAAAAAAACCCACAAGTCCTCTTTGCGTTATCCATATACTCACTGAAGCATGTCAGCGTCCTTTCCCATCCACATCCCCGCAGAAGCCATTGACTGTGGAGAGCTAAACTTCAACATCCTTATCACAGTTTTTAAGAGTTCTCTTTGGTGGAATCTGGGACCAACAGTTCTTAAAGGTGAAACACAAATGGCCAATAAACACCGAAAAATGCTCAGTTCCACCAGCCAGCCCATTTCCACTCAGAGAAACGTCAACCAAAAGTCATCAAGATTCAATCTCACCCCAGTCCAGAGGGCAGTCATCAAGACAAATGACAGTTAATGGGAGGCATGGATAAAGGAAGTCCTAATGTACTACTGAGAGAGTACCAACTAGTCCAGCCATTGTGGAGTCAGTATGGACGCTTCTCAAATAACTGGAAAATGGGTCTTCCACATGACCCAGCTATGACACTCCTGGGTATCTACCCAAAGTTTCTCCAAGCCAACATGTCACGGGGGGCCTGCGTGTCACTGTTTATCGCAGCACTGTCCACAATAGCTCCACCGCAGAACCAGCCTACACGTCCAACAGCAGGGGAGGAATAAGGAAATGTGTGTGCGCAGTTTCTTTTTCCCACTCATCATGTGGAAGGAAGTTATAACACTGGCAGGAAAATGGATTCAACAGATAATCACATCGTGAATGAAGACACCCTCAGAAAGAGAAATAGTTTTTTTTTTTCTCATTTGTGGCTCCTGGATTTTATATAGATACATAAAATCATTTACACTCACACACACACAATGAAAGAAGCAAAACTATCTAAGCGGACAGAGGGGAGCAAAGGAGGGGATGGGAAGTAAAGGCGGAGTATGTTCCACATCTGATACATACTTGGGTAAAAACTTAAGACACAGTATTAAAAGGCCCTGTCTCAAAAAACGAAAACAAAGGGAAGAACAAACTTGAAGGTCATAGTGAATTACCCATGGCAGAATTTGAAGCTAAGATGCCACAGTAACTCGTTGATAGTTGCTTCCTATCACCTTGGCAAACCCCTGGCAATGCTCCTCCCCACACTGAAGGGCATCTCAGGCTCACGGAACAACTAGGATGTTGTAATTGGTATGTCGTAAGTTCTAGAGAACTTAGCCTAGACCAAATGAACAACTCATTCACACACCGAGTACATGGGAATTGGCTAAGAAATAGGCTGGGCTACCTCTTACTAAAGCTAAGCTGATAATCTGCAAACATATTCGACTTCTCAGTCCAGGTTTGACCCTGTCTGACGTTATGAATGGAAGGTCCGAGAAGGCACTATAGCCACTCTGCCTGCGTCTTAAGGAAAGTTCGTTGGAAGCCTAAGTGTTGCAACAACAGGCTATTCTGAGAAACAGTGTACTTTCAAAAAAGACCTGGCAGTCTGAAGCTGACACTCTGAGCCAAGTAGACCACATAGGAGAGACCTTGGGGTTTTCTTGAATGTATTTCAGATAAGGTCTCACTCACCTAGCTCAGGCTGGCCTTGAACTTGCTAGGTACTAGAATATGCCCTTCCTTCTTGCCTTTATTCCCAAGTGCTGGGATTGCAGGTACGCTGCCACACCTGTCTTGTATCAAAGTCCTTAATGCTTTTGACATACTGAGTTTTTTTTTTTTTTTTTTTTTTTCTCCTTTTCTTCCCTCAGACTCACACTGGGGCTCAGGCTAGCCTGGAACTATTCAGTCCAGTGTGGCCTCATAATCATGGCAGCCTTCCTACCTCAGCCTCCTAAGTGCTGTGATTATGGGCATGTGCCATTAGAGAACAGTACTTTGTACTCAAGTTTTCTTGTCTGGGGTTAGTGGAATTGCTCACTTAATTTCTGCAGTGTCTTTTATCTGTCCACAATTATGGCTTAAGAACCACTGTTCAAGTGTGGGAAGGCTCATGGCAATCTCCAAGAACACAAGCTAGCTTCCCATTACTGTTATATAAAAAAGTTTATTTCAGAAATCACATCTTTAAAAAAATAACATAGAAGGGGATAGGTTATTCTGACCAGATATAAATTCATTTGAATGCCAGGGTGTCATGTGGTACAATTAGTGAGATGTTCTGTGAAGAGGATGAGTCTTGTGTGATACTCTTGACGTACACCAGCTCAAACCTTAATGTGGCTTTTAAAAGGAAGGAAAGAGGAAGGTACAGGAGGGGAGAGCAGAGAAGAGCATCTTGATCTTGTAAATGCCAGCTCTGAAACTACAGCCACTGAGACTACTAGCCCAGGGACCACACGAAGTGGAGCGGCATTATTAATTCACGTGACCCACATCTCAGCAGCTTATGCTGGAGTGTGGGCGGAAACAGAGGTGCCCAGCGCCTGTTCTGTCATGTCACAGCCTGAAAGCAACAGGGACATCAGAGGAAGAAGAGGAAAGCTTGCCGGGGACAGAATGGCTGTCCTTGTCCCTAACCAGCAGCTTTCTCACATTCTTCTGGGTAGTACCCCTGGGTGGTCAGGTTCAAATACTGGAAAATCAGAAGGCAAAATAAAAGTGCAAGTCTACACTTACTGTGGACAGAAATACAGTTCTTTAGGACTGCAACCGCAAACCCAGTCATCTCCAGTGGTAAGGCTGGGAAAGAATTGTTACGCCAAAGTTCTCACAACACAGCTATGACTTTCTATGGCCCAGTCACTACTTTTATCAGTGAGCTTGCACGGTTTTCAGGTACTTCTGCCCAGGTACCCAGAGTTTTCCTCAGAACTAGAAAGCAGACTTAATATCCCAGAGCACTGCTGTGGCCAGCCAAGAGTACAGTGCCCTGTGCACTCCGGCGGGGAGCAATGGCAACCTCTTGTGGCTTAGACTGAATATCTCAAGTCATTATCATCCATTTTTATTTTTTAGACAAGGTAAGTAGCCCTGGCTACCCTGGAACTCACTATTTAGATCAGGCTAGGATATCACAGAAATCTACTTGTCTCTAACTCCTGAGAGCTGGGATTAAAGGCGCATGCCATTATGCCCATGTTTGGTTAGACTTGAGACAGGTTGCTCATGTAAACTTAGTATTTAGCCAAGGCAGACCTTGGGTTTCTGATCCTGCTTCCTTGGGCTTACAGGCCAGTCACCATTCCTAACAGTAAATACTGCTGGTACCAAGAGGGTGCTGCAGGGATGGCAGAGGGGGAGCCTAGAAACCCTTTGTTTTATTGAAGTGAAGAAGGAGGAACAGTGAGGTTGTAGATCTGAGCTTTATTACCAGGATGATGTCACCTCAGGATGGGACTGAGAGCCCTGAAAGGTTATTCCACATGGCACAAAACCCTTGGACCTCAGAGCTGCAGACCTCATGTGCCAAAATGCATCTGGAAAGAAAATACAGAGGGGCAGGACAGGTGCAAGAGGTGACAAAGGAACCTGACAGCAGTCTGTGTGAGATTCCTGAGGCCCAGGAAGTACTTCAGTATTCTGTGCTTCTTCCGAAATGAGACAGAAGCCATGCCAAGCCCTGCACTTACTAAGCTGGTGGGAAGCACACCGAATTCTTCGTGACAGGACTGCACAGGTCTGTTTCAAACTCTTCCCACCACGATTCTACAGCAAGGTAAAAAGAGCTTCCACACACATATCCAAGGCAGGAGCCAGGTGGCCACACAATGCCACAGATGGTGCGAACTGCTCACTACTGCAGCCGGTGGCACGACCCGGGGAGGAGGGCAGCGTCCTGAGACAAGAACCCTAGGGTGAGGCCAGCTCAGTCAGTGGTGGACCTCCGGTACCAGAACCGAGCTCGGAAGTCATCGCTGCACGTCATAAAGCCAGGGTTGGTGGGAGAGTGCACAATGCAGCGCACAATGTTGTTGTGGCCCAGGGACAGCAGGTTCCTGCGTTCAGCTGTCCTAGAGTCCCAGCAGCAGAGGCTGATGGTTCTTTCATCCGGCAGCAAAATATAGTCCTCAGTGTGGTTGAACACAGCCTGCGTCCGGTGCACCTGCCGTCCACTCAGACCCGCGCCTGCCACACAAACCAACATGTTAGGCTGTGGACCCAGGGGTGACCTCCAACCCTCACAATGGTCTAGCACTATGGCAACACTGTCACCTCCAGGCCCACCACCCAAGGCAACTTAACCTTGGTGTACCTATGGGCAAACACCAACCTGGTGCCACATCTCTTATGACCTGGTGATAACCTGGTGCTTATCTCCCAAAGCAGTTTGAACCCACAGTGCTGGGCCCTGTCTAGAGTCACTAACGATGTTCTTGCTGCTAGGCATTCAGCTTGTATCCACTGAACAATGCTGTGTAAAAGTCTTTGCACACACCTTTATCTCCTCAGACACACTGGAACAAAGCATGTGAGCACTTACCTTTCAAAAGGAAGCTTTACATTTCATGAGCATAAATAGAAGACATGTTTTATGTTTACAGTAATGCATGAAAGATTAGAAGAGCCAGGGCACTTCACTACTTAATGAGGCTGTACTTTGGTGGACAGCCTCCTAAATACCCATGTGCTTTTAACTGCAGGAACCAGCAGCCACATGTTACTCTCTTTCAGAGTATGCAGTGCAGACCTGTGAGAACGCGACTACGGGGAAAAAACACACCCATCATAGTTAGCAGGGTGTGCATTCCTTAGGAGCTGCGACCGTGGGTAGATGGCTTCCTAATAAAAGCCTTCCCTTTCTCACCAGTCCCTATCCACGAGGGTGCTGAGTGAAACACAAGTCTCACTATGCATGCACACGAGATGCTACGAGTGTTTATCTGCAAAAGTGCATGTGGTAACAGGTGCACAGCAGAGCTACTCAATGCTTTGCAGTGGACTCTGGCTTCTAACTTGCACTGACTCCCAGGATTGTTTACAGACATCATTCTGTGTGCATGCACATGGACTTATGTTTCTAAGAGTATGACCAAAAGCACATATTTAAACATTTGACTTCACAATTACCCTTCTGAAATATTTACCAAATGAAACATCAGTAAAATGAGCTGACTTTTTTTTTTTTTTTAAACTTTGACCAATGAAATAAAACAGTCCCATAAGTTGTAGATGGTTTGATGAGCCAAGAAAAGACATGCCCAATTCCATTTCTGGGGTTTACATTAAGGCCGTTCATTTTATAACCAACCATCCACTTTAATTTCTCTTAAAAAATACTGAAAATTTGACTTTTTCCCTATAAATTTGTGCTCATCTTTTTCTTGTGTATAGCCTATCTATAGATCAAGATCACTGAGATGTATACTATGTAAAAAAAAACTCAAGATGGACTCAACACATCTAATGTCCTCTTCAGCTTTTCCCTTTCTATCATTATTTCAAGAAAACTTTGCTTTCTAAGTGCATCTTAACACCCAGAAAGGAAACCCTGACATGCTGTCTGTCAGGGTGCTGACTTAGGAATTAGGAAATCAGGAATGTGTCTAGACATTCCTAGGAAAAATAACATTGTAACTCTCTACTAAAAATAAGCCATCTAAGCTCTTGGTAGCAGTCTGGTGCATGTCTGAATCATCCCCTGGGAAGCAAGGGCTGTCACTTGTAAATGGAGCATTTTCATGTCCACTTGGAATGCTTCTACAAGTAAGAAGGTCCCGGTTTTAAGAGATATTTTCCAAAATGACACATAAAGTATCACAAAGTTACCAAGGACTATGACAGACATGGTTCTTTAGGCAACTAGCTTGTGCCACACAGAGAGGAACTGTGCTGCACCCTAGTGGCCTGAATCATCAGTTCTTCCATGTCCCTCTCCAAGATGCTAACTCAGCCCCTTACAATACTGGTTCCCTGCAAGCTACAACCTCTGTATATTTAATGAGACACAAATACCTCACAACAGAACCACCTGGAAGGTTTCCTACCAAACACTCCTCTCAGCTGCTGTGGAACAGAACTGAGCACAGCAGAACACAGGCCTCACAATGCCCAGACCTGAACTGAGTACTGCACCGGGCAAATTCAAACAAACTCACCATAACAGGAGCCCGTAGGCACACCACCAGGAACTAGAGACTAACAGCAAGTACTGGGGAACTGAGCTGGCTTTCTTTCCTTCCCATCTGCTGGGTCTATTTATCTATGGACACTGGTGATCTCTTCCAGGGCGACCTGTATTGCCCTAGGGAAGGGGCAAAGCCTTCTCTGAACCCCTTTCCTCCAGTTTCTCACTCTTCAGCAGTCTGACCCCCTAGAGAAAAACCAGCATCACCTTCTCACGCACCTGTGTACCTCACCAGTGTCCGCCCTGTGGATATTTCCCAGAGTTTAGCTACAGAGTCTTTTCCACTTGAGAGGATGTACTTGGAATTCTTGGAGAAAATGGCAGAACAGACTTCTGCCCCATCATGAGCTTTCTCAAAGGTTGTGATACAGCGATTGGAGACACCATCCCATAGCTTGATGCAGCCGTCCTTGCTGCCAGTGACATACATGTTGGCACTAGGATTGTAGTTAACAGAGCAGATAGCATCGGTATGCTGGTCTTGGGGATTGCAAGAGACAAAACACTGGAAGGTGTTGATGTCATAAAGGCGAAGCGTAGGATGCTGAGTTCCAACGAGAATAAAGTCTCCAGAAGGATGGAAAGAGATAGAGCGCAACATTTCAGCTTCCTGTGAGGACAGAGGCACAATGTCAGTCCCTGAGCTGTAGGATACAGAACACTGGTTCTTTCTAATACTATTTACAGGTCAGATATTCCTAAAACCAGACAGGAGCTTTACTCGCAAATGAACATGGGATGAAACCAGATGGACTCTTAAAAATGGATCAAAGGAGTTACACTCACACAACCATGAAAGATGAAAATAAGCTTCTGTAATCTGTTCTAGGGCAGCAAATACTAAGGAAATTCCAGCCAATGAATGGCAGAAGCTGCAACATGGACTCAACAGTGGATCACAAGTTGCTTTTCCGAAACATTTGACACTTTCAACTGAGCACTTTGGTGGCTGTAAGCCACACTTTTAGGGAAGGTAGGTTTTTTGCTTGTTTTGTTCCTAGTCATGAGGCTTGAACCTACAGTGTCTTAAAAATGATCCATCCCCAACTCCCTTTTTTGAGGGTCTCACTTTATCACTCAAGCTGCCAGGAATGGATTATGCAGCAGGTTGGCCTTGTACTTGTGTCAGTCCTCCTGCTCAGCCTCCTGAGTGATGAGATTACAGTATGGTCCACCATGCCCAGCTCATTTGCAGTCCTGCTTGGGCAAAGGACAGCCAGTCACCCCTACACCAATGGCATCTGCTCCAAATGCCACAGAAGGCATGTCCGTCATAGTGTGATCAGTTGGAATCGTCATGACATAAGTGAATCTAAGAGCCATAAAATACTGCATATAAACAGTCAAGTGCTCCCCTGATGTATCTAACCTGAATGTATTTGAAGGCTCTTTTTGCAGAGGGTTTGGAATAATCAAACAATTTTAGAGTATAATCCCTTGAGCCTGAGGCCAGGATCTGTTCTGTTGGGTGAAAAGCAAGACACGTGACTTCATCCACATGGTCGTAAAGAGTTCGAATGACTGGGTGGTTCTCCATGTTCTGTTGCGCGGTCTCATTCATCATTACCTGGACCAACAAGAAAAGGAGAGATAGATGCTCAAGGTACAGAGGCACCTGGTCCAAGCCCACAGTCCCACGGGGAAAACCAGAGCTGATGATAACACAGCCGTGCTGTGTGGAGCAATGGTAGGCGGGAATGGTACCTCAATTGGCATGGCACTTTTGGCCAACATTCTTTCTGTGTCCAGTATCTTTATGGAAGCGTCAGCAGATCCTGTGGCTATTAATTGCCCATCTCTGCTATAGGTGGCCACACGGCATGGGCCTTTGTGGGAAGTGACATAACAGGTTTCATATTCAGAAGCCTCAGGTGACATTGTTTGAACATCTGCATCAAACTCCAGGTCAATGCCTGTGCCAGGGGCAACTGTATCAGAGCGACCAATTGCATACTGAACCGCACTGTCGTCATTTTCCATCCCTAAAGGGGTTAGAATCAAGAACACGAGAAAAGCTGTTAAATGCAAAGACAGGTTCTAGATCTGAACGGAAAATGATGTCGACCAACACCACCCAGTGCTAGACAAATCAAGAACCTTGTCCATGCTATGAAAGGTGCACACTGCTGCAGGCACAATGGCTTGTGGAAGGGTATATTTCCATAGCCAAACTCACTCTTTAACAGTACTTATAAAATGCAATAAAAACAGCAGCACTGCTGTTTCCCCTATTTTTTAATGGGAGTTCAATTCATTTTTTTCCATTTAGAACAGAGAACTAGCACTTTGCTTATTTTGTGGTGTTGGAGACAAACCAGGGCCTCACACCTGCTGGCAAATAACCCTTCACTGAGCTATACCTCCAGCCCTGAATCCTAATTTTTAGAGATGTGATCAGTTAGTAGCAGCTTTGATGGGTTTTGCTACACTGCTAACATTAATGAGATTTACTGAAAGAATGCCATGCTCAAGCATACTAAAGTTTACAGACAATATGTTTGTTGGGTGTTATGTGACTTCTGTGATCCCAAAAGTTAGGAGGCTGAGACAGGAGGATAGTGAATGTGAGATTCACATTACGTTCACAGAATTCAAGGTAGTCCTGACAAGGGAGACATCAAGTAAGAAAAAAAAAAGTTGAGCATGATGGTGTGCCACCTTCAATCCCAATACTTGTGGGAGGCGGAGGCAGAGGCAGAGGCAGGTGAGCCAAGGCCAGCCGGGTCTATTACATAGTAAGTTCCAGACCAGGCAGTGCCATACAGTGAAACCTTGTTTTCAAAATAAAACACAGAGGCTGGAAAGGTGGCTCAATGATTAATGTCCTTGGGTTCAGTTTCCATCATCCACACAGAGACTCAGAACCCTCTGTGATTCCAGGTCTAAGAGACTGGATGATCTTTTCTGGCTTCTGTGGGCACCACGCACTCATGTGTACATATACATACTGGCAGGCAAAAGACTCATAATAAAACAAAATAGGCCTGGAGCGACGGCTCGGCAGTTAAGAGCAATGGTTGCTCCTCTAAAGGAGCTGGTTCAATTCTCAGCATTTATAGGGCAGCTTATAAACCGTCTAACTCTTGTCCCAGGGAACGTGACAACTTCTTCTGGCCTCCAGGGGCACTGCATCCATACAGCACTCATGCAGGCAAAACACCCAAATCCACAAAATCATAGAGTAGTAATAATGAAAATCATCCCTCATAAAGACCCTTAATTTAGAAATAACCTCACATACCACATAAACAATAACAATCATTGGCACAGGAGGAATCAAAACATGTGAAAAACTTGTGGCTTCTTCCCACACATACAACTCTTGTTTTTCAAAACAAATGCAGGCCTGAACCATCACTTGGGACTTGCTCAGTCGTTTAAACATTTAAAATAATACTCAACAGAACAAGTCTTTCAACATTATAAATTCTTAAAGATAGCTAGAGCTAAAGCCACAAAGTAAATCTAAAGTTAAACATATGTAAAATTCCTCATTATAGAACAGTTTAATTTATTGATTTCCCCACTCAGGACAGTACACAAGTGGCATTATCAAGTCAAGGGAATAAATGTGTTCTGTGTACTGATATCTTTTTTTCTGAAAACATCTTCTGTTATGTGCACTTCCATATACTGACCCACAATAACACGTGTGTGTGTGTGTGAGAGAGAGAGAGAGAGAGAGAGAGAGAGAGAGAGAGTTGTGATCACTTGCTGAAAGCAGCCAGCAGACTGAAAGTAACCTGAAACAAAACAAACTTCCCATAAATGTTGGGAATGACATGTAGATTCAGCTAGGTAATTTAAAACCCTGCTGAGGGTAGGTAGGTACCAATGACTAACACAAGACCCTGATATCTACAGTGTCAGTCTTTCTAGTGAGTAGGGAATGGGAAGGTGAAGTATGCGTGGAACTGATTCAAATAACAAAGCAGGCTTCAGATAGCATCTGTTAATGAAGCGAATCACTGTGGTAGAGCATGAGGAAGACAGAAGAACTATCTTAAATGGGGTGAGAGATGACACTTGAGCTGAGACTTGAGGGGAATGCCCAGATGATGGGTACAACTACATCAGAACCAGCTTTATCATCTGGACTTAGCTATCCTTACTGTATTCTGCATACATCGACTTTGAAACTACACGGAAATAATTTTAGTAACTGCCCCCGGCAAGCACCTAAAATGCCATTTGGGATGCACAAATCCACACCCACAGCTTACCTAGTTTGATCAGATGCAGGAGCTGCTCTGATGGCGCACATACCGACTGGGGCTTGATCTCATTGATGAGGCCGTTGGCGATGCTAATGTAACCGTCATATAGCAGCTGGCTAATGATCAGCTTGTAGAGCTGTTGGCGGTCCTTCAAACCCACTTTGGTTCTATACATTCTGCAGAAGATGATGACAGTTTCCCTGACTGCTGGAAGAGAAAACAGGTGCTGAGTAAAAGGTAGAGGCACTCCCCAGTTACCAGAAGCACAGATCTCTCAGGCCAGGCATAATCACATCCATCAATCTCAGCCTGACTAGCTGCATTATCTTTGGATGGTGCCTTTGTTTTTCTTGGTTCCAGTTCCTCAGCTGTTACCTAAGCCACTGGAGGTTAGTCAAAATGGTGCACAGAAAGTACATATAGAAACTAATGTCACTGATGGTTAGAGTAGGACTCCTCATGATTTCTTCTTCTCTGCTAAACTATCCACCTGCGACTTTTGTTGCTATCCCTTCCATTTCTTCTGGTAACACTGGTGTCTGCAATTGGCAGATGGCTAATGTTTTGTCAGATGCCTGGACCACTTTACACCAGCTGGAATGTAAATCTACTAATGACTGGTGTGTTTATTTTTAAAACCTGTTTTCAGGCAACTTAGCTTATTACTGTTAATTATACAACTTGATGAGGTAGTAAATGAACACACAAATACATCATAAAAAATGAGGATCAAAAAATGAAAAATAAGCCAAGTTCATTAATAAAAATGTGTCAAAAGCTGAGCATGGTGGCACATGTCTTTAGTCCCTGCACTTGGAAGGCAGAGGCAGGCAGATCCCTGTGAATTTGAGACCAGCCTAGTCTATACTGGGCAGCCACCCTGTCACCATCAAAACAAATAAATGTAAAAATCTGAACACACGGTGTTCTCAGTTTTATTTGGAGGGATCTAATCTCTTCAGTCCGTGAAAATGAAACAAAGCCAAAGATGATGGTTTCTGAATCAACCTGGGTAGATAATTTGATTAAGTTAATCAGTAGGGGTGCGATTATATGTTTGGCTGTAGGAATCTGGGGACATCAAGCATGAAGGTAGGGCTGGAGATACAGCCTGGGATTACACTGTTTGCTGCCCGATGACCCAGGCTCAAAGACCCGCAAAGCCGCACACAGCACCGCACTGATCGCGCTTACCAAGCACTTCCTACTGCCAGATACGAGGTCAAGCATTCGATCACTAAACGAAGCTGTTCGGTATGTTCGTGTAAATTAGAAACAAGTGTATAGAAATATACCCTTGCATAAGACATTGGGACACAACAGAGGATAAAATGAATTCCAAGAACCTAGAGCACCCACTCAAGCGAAAGTCAGCCCCCAAGCCTGCCAGGGAACAACAGGGGCTTTAGCACGACATTTAAAGAAAAAAAGAGAGAGGGGGTGGGAGGGTGGAGAAGTTGAGCCTTCACTTTACTCATTCACAGATTTCTATCATCTCCAGTTCTTCGGCGGGGAGAACGAGGCACGAGGGGCCCGACTTAGGACTGCTAACACCGGGGGATGCAGGAGGTCCACGGCTAAGCCGCGCGACCGCTTCTGCTCAGGGAGGATGGTAGGGACCCGCTGGGACCGAGGCCCTTTGAGAGCAGGGGTGCAGGCCAGGCCGGCCAACTCTGGGACACGGACTTGGGGCGAACCGCCTCTCGCCATCATCTCCGCTAGCCCCAGTCCTTCACGTGATCCACTATAGACCCCAGCCAAGCACAGCAGCCCATTTCCTTACGACCCTCGACTCCGTACCCGCTGATTAGGGTCTTGGTCTCCCGCTCTCTCCAAGAAAAATGGAGGCGCGAATCGTGCCCGATCGATCGCTCTGAGTGCACACTCACTGCGCACGCGCAAAGGTCATGCAGCCGAGCGCCGAGCAACCTCCCGCTCACTTGCAAGCCTGCCCTTCTCGCCATCTTACTCACTGGCACGTTCAAGACGCTCATTCACCTCCTCCGAGCTGATCACCTCCGCGGTAGCCTTGAACCCAAAGTGCTGTTGTGTGACCGGCAAACGCCCGATGCTGCGGAGCACGGCGGGCGATAGAACGGCCACAGAGCGGACGGGCGGTTGGTGCACCACTTCCGGGCTCTGACGGCTCAGTGCGCCTGCGCCCAGCTACGGTACGGCGTGAGCTTCTAGTAATTGCGTTCACGGTGAGCCAATCACAGAACGGCATCTCTCCGACTCTAGCCAATCAGCTTTCGGAGGAGAGGGTTTAACTCCTATTTTAAAAGGAGAAACTTTGAATCGTAACGGCTGAGCTACCGGGATCGCTTGGAGGCTTCGGTCAGAAGCAGGAACTTGCCCGTGGGTAGGAAGGGGACCGGGCGGGTGAGGACGAGCTGGGTGCCGCAGACCGAAGGGGAACGTTGAGTGGCCCTGGGGTAATAGCTGTCTCAGTGGGTTTGCATTCTGTGTAGACCTGGCTGGCCTGGATCTCATAGAGATCTGCCTCCCAAGTGCTGGGGTTAAAGGAATGCGGGACCATACCTAACCTTATGTTTGTTGAGACATAGTGAGTTCCAGACCAGCCAGGGCTACACTGGGAGACACTGTCTCAAAAAAACCAAACCTAACAAACAAAGCCCTGGCTCCACTGCAAACGTGGGAAATAGAAATCTCCCTGGTGTAGCTAACCATGGGAAAGTTAAAATGCAGGGTCGTTTATTAAAGCTGGCCTCTGGGCTCCGGAGCTCTATTTCCTCATAGGCATCGTTCACTTAATGTTGCTGCCTCCTGCCTAGCCTTCCTGATCTTTGCATTATGGGCCCTTCAGTAACACACTCAGCTATTTGTCCCTCTGAAAACGGGAACCCGAACCTGCTGGGGCATGAGCAGTTTTCCTACTTGTAGTAAATCTTTGTGCTGAGTGAGAACAGTGAAAGGCATTTGGTGTAGCTGGGAAGGTGAAGGACTCTGATTGGGGAGGTGCGGGCGGGGGAAAAAAGAGGCCGAGTCAGGAGGGTAGGAAATGAGAGCTAGGGAGGTTTAATAGGTAAACCCGGAAAAGGGGTCAAAAGGGATGATGGTCCAAACCTGCTCCCCAGGAATGCAAGTAATCATATTGGGTTCCCACAGTGGGGGTAGCTGACAGACAGTGGAATTTAAAAGGCCCAGTGGGAGGAAGAGAAGAGCAGGTAGTACTGGAGCTTTGTTGTTTCAAGGGAGGTGAGAGATCATGGCTGAGGCAGCTGCGGCGCTGGTGGGGCTTTGTAAGGTAGGAGGTATTTCAAGCAGACTGAACGGTGAACATTGTATACTAAAGCAAAAAGAACCACCGTGTCCGAGAGGGAAGGGACATGATGAAAGAGGATGTCACATGATAAAGGGACGTCACGTGTGCAGGGTGTGTATCTGGTAAAAGCACCCGTCCCCTGTCAGCTTGCTTCATTCACTTGTACCAAGAAAAAGTGTGAAGGGTGCATGCCTGGAAGGCTGTCCAACACAGAGCAGTGACAGCTGAGCATGACATAGTAGCACTTACAAGCAGGTGTCTCCCTTTAAATGAAAGGTTCTTGTTTCTCTCTTCAGGTGACATGGACAGATGTAAAGAAAACTGCACTTCCAGGCCCCTTAAGGTAAACAGAATTACTTATAGTCACATTCATGTTTTGTTTGTGTTCACCTGTGCATATGCTACTGTGTAGGTCAGAGGGCAACTTGCTGGAGTGAGTTCTTTCTATCCTGTGGGTCTAGGGACTCTAGCCCAGGTCCTTGGGCTTGGCTGCAAGAGTCCGTATTCACTGAGCAAATCTGGACAGCTCACATGGAAATTGTTCTCTTATTGGAATTCTTTCCCCTTGGCTTTGGGTGGAATCTTTACAGGTCCCTTCCTGACCTTGCCTGGGGGCGTCGTGGGCCGAGGGCCTCTTATTTCTACAGGAGATGGTTCTGCACTTAAAACCTCATACCCTCTGAGCACTTGGTGGATCCTGAGCCTCTCACTTAAGCAGGAGAACCTCCATCTTCTCTGAGTGTGATTAGCATAGGTCTTAAGAGTTGTTTAAGATTGGCACTTACTTACAAGTAATTCAATGTTAATTCAGTGCAGTAATAATTACTTTTCAAGGCACCTATACTTGTTTCTTTGTCAAAGAACCTCCTTTTTTTTCTATTGAAAACTCAACTTGTTAATTTCTATGCATTTTCATTTTGGAGATTACATTTTTAAAAAATATTTCAGTTGGGTGGGGCTTGGTAGGCACGCCTTTAATCCCAATATTTAGGAGGCAGCAGTAGGCAGATTGAGATGAGGTCAGTTTCTTTTATATAGTGAGTCCCAGGCTAGCCACGATTACATAAGTACTCTGAAAAAGTGAAACCCAGGGAAATGAACTGTGTTAATAATAATATGCTTATGGAAACCCTGTGTAACCTTATATGTTTTGTTTGAATGTTTGCCTGCATGGATATCTTTGCACTATGTGTGTGCCTGGCACATGAGGATGCCAAAGAGGATGTTAAATCCCCTGGGTCTGGAGTTACAAATGGTTATGAGCCACTATGTGATGCTGGGAACTGAACCCAGATCCTCTGAAAGGGCAGTCAGTGTTCTTGACTGCTCAGTCATCTCTCCAGCTCCTATTTCCATTTATTACCCACAATAGTTATGAGTTTTATTACAAAGGAAACTTGGTTGAGTTCTCAGGGTACCATCAGTCTTTCCTGAAGGCCATAACGCTTGCCTTCTCTCCATTCCAGACCACAGTTCCCTTCGGCCCAAAACGAGTCTTGGTGACTGAGCAGATACCATCTCAGAACCTGGGATCGGCTAGCAGTGGCCAGGCCCAGCGGGTCCTATGTCCTTCCAACTCTGCCCAGCGTGTCCCTCCACAAGCACAGAAACTTGTCTCGGGTCAGAAGCCAGTGCTGAAGCAGGTGCCTGCTGCCAGCATTCCTCGATCTGGGTCCCGGCTCGGGAATCCCCAGAAGAGTGAGCAGCCACAGCCCGCAGCATCTGGTAAGCTTTCACTGCATTGGACAGTCATTCTTCCTAGTTGTTGCTCAAAGAGCAAATGGGTAGATTGGCATTTGTTCTTGAAGCCTCGGCACCATGTCTGAAGAGACTATGGCATGTCCATGCGCAAGTATAGTGGTGTTGCTGGGCTCCCCCAGTGCTGGGAATACAGGCGTCAGTGCTGGCCAGGCCAAGGGGAAAGCTACAGGAGGTTCTTTGGAATAGAAGGAAATGTTGGATGTAAGGGAGAAGACACTGCTGGGTCCAGGGTACCTGAGAGGGAGTCTGAATTCAGATGGTGGCGACTGGAACAGGGTTAGTGTTGATGGTTAGTTAGCAGCTAGTGGGTGCTTACAGAACTTCTGAGAGACCCTGACCCGCATCCTCTCACCACTTACACAGAAGGGGCTGAGGCTCAGCAGTTAATTTACCCTAGGACCTCTCCAGAAAGGAAGGTATGGGTGAATCTGCCGCTTTGTTTAGGAAGCAGATGCAAGACAACTGGGTGATAAGACCTGAAAGATGAGTGGGGAAGAGATAGCTGTAAAGATGTAGGAAGGGAGGAAACGTAGGCTGGGCCCTCATAAGGAAGCAGAATAGTCTGTAAAGTGGCAGACAGACAGTCTGGTTATGTGCAGACCTGGACACTGGGAGGGACGGATGGCTGAAGCTGCTGTAGTGCCCTGAGCTTCAGCAGAGGGAGAGGGGCAGCCACAAGCTGCTGTGGAGGGCTGAGGAGTGGCTGGAGGGGAAGGAAGCCTGTGCTGCCCTCTCAGCGGGCTCACCCTACCCCTCCACCATCTGTTGTGATTTCTGTCCTTTAGAAAGGCACCCGGCTCTTCTGAGCTCCCCGGGACTGTAGTCTCAAGTCAGCAGGATAGAAGAGGCTGAAGTGTATTGGGTGGCTTCTTTGGACTCCGGTCACATTTTGGGGTCATGGTCCTGACTCCTAGCAGTGGTGATATTGTAGATGTAAGATAACACATGAATCACGAAGGAGAAACCAGTTTGGACCGGTATTCACATAACTTGAGTGGAGCTGCTGTGCTCTTTGACTCTCAGGTGACAAGAACATGTCCCACACTTGTGTAGCTCTTGAACTAGCACCCGTGGTCCCTGTGGTATGCTGCTGTGGTTTGTCTTCTGAGCTAGCAGCTTCTGCTTTCTTACATGCCTTTGGCAAGAGTTGCTGGCCTGTGTTTTGTTTCTGTGTTGATAATTTGTACAGTGCATATGGATGCCTGCACAGCAGGTGGAGACGGCGAACGCTTGTGGGTGGAGTTGCTGCTGCTTTCCTCTGGAAGCTCTTTCTGGGGAAAGGCTCCAGGGAGAGGATGGGCATCCTCAGTCTTGTTGGAGAAAGGGCCTGTTCATACTTATTCTAGAAATGATGAGACTGTGTGGCAGGAGTTGGATTATGGCTCATGGTTCAATAGTCTCCCCTAGGAGGAAAATTGAAAAGCCCAGATTTATCTGCGTGATGTACCTCTAGTATTTTGATGATGGGTTGGTTTTTGTTTGTTTGGTTGGGGGGTTAGTTTTGATTTTTTTGGAGACAGGGTCTTACTGTGTATCCCTAGTTGTCCTAGAGTTCACTATGTGGACCAAATGGGCCTCAAACTCATAGAGATATGCCTACCCCTGCCTCCCAAGTGCTAAGACTGAAGGTGTATGCCACCATGCCTGGTTATAGGACCATTCTTTGATTCATCTTAATTGATAGATTTTATTTTTTAAGAGGAAGTTTATATAGTTGCTCTAAAAACAGTGTTTTAACTTATTTCATATAGGAAATAATTCTGAAAAGGAACCGGCATCAAAACAGAAAAATGAAGACTCAAAAAAGTAAGCTTTCTTTCTCTTCTCCCAGAATACCCATTTGGTTGCAGGCCACTAACCTTAATGTCATCCCCATTAAAATCAGATTTACCAGGCCCTCAGAAGTAGGTTGTTTTTGTTTTTGTTTTTTTTTTAATTGTCTTAGCAATTTTTTGCCTAGAAAAATCTTTATTAAAACTTTATTATTTAAAAAAAAGTAGTAAGTAAAAAACAAAAAACAAACAAACAAAAAAAACCTCACACGCCAAAAGACTCTGTAACTCTGCACTTCTACACAATTTGAATAGCCTGTTGACTCTATCCTGCTTCCATTAGTGACAGTGGCTCTGTGTTTCCCACCAGAATCACTCTCCACCCCACAGCCCCTTAGCTTCTCTGGGGATGTAGAGAGGAGGTCCTTATGGTCCTGAGAGGGTGTCCTGTCTAGTGCTGTTGCTAGCCTGTGGTGGTGAGGGTTCTCAGTCAGTCTGTCTGGAGCGTAGCACTGCTTTAGGCGGGGAATGTTGGTCTTTAAAGCTTGAGGCTCATTCTGGTGATTTAGGGTTGGTGCTTGTGGAGGGTACGTCCTGAGTGTAGTCTGAGCATGAACAGGTTGACTGCTCACTGGCCTGGCAATGGGCCATGGTCAGTAGTTTCTTCATGTTGTAATTGTTCACATTACTTTTTAGGAGGCAGTGGACTTTGGAAGATTTTGACATTGGTCGCCCACTAGGTAAAGGAAAGTTTGGAAATGTCTATTTGGCAAGGGAGAAGCAAAGCAAGTTCATCCTGGCCCTGAAGGTGCTGTTTAAAACGCAGCTGGAGAAAGCAGGGGTGGAACACCAGCTGCGAAGAGAAGTGGAGATACAGTCCCACCTGCGGTGAGTGGCCCTCCTTCCTGTCAGAGCTGGGGAGCCGGACACTGTGCTCCCGATTAGAGCTGCCTTTTCCCATAGATCCCGGTGGTATGGCCCTCAGAAGCATCACTCCAGGACTTAAAGCAAGTAGTATACTTTGGCTTTTTTTCATCTGGAGGAGAATTAGGGAAAGATACTGGTTGAGTCAGTCAGTTGTTTTGTTTTCCCTTTTTGCTTTCAGTGTTTTCCAAGTTTGATAGAGACGCTGGTCTTGAACTCTGCCTTGTCTGGCTTACCGTCACCTGGCAGGGTAGGGGCTGGGGGCAGTGAGTGGTGCTGGCACCTCCAGCAAGCTATGTGCAGCAGCTTGGCACCCATCCACTTCCACCCTGTCTGCCTTGGTTGTGTCTCCTGTTTGCACATCTCTCTCCTATATCGAAGCATTTTCCTCAACAGGCAGAGATTGGTGTTCAGCTGACAGTTTTCCACTAAGAAAAAGAAGTCTGAAAGGGGCAGTGTGAACTAAACCCAAGATCTATTTATACTTTGAAATCCACATGTGGATATGTATACAGTGTCTTTTTCTTGGCTGGGCCCAGCATTCAGATCTAATGTGTGCTCTGTGACACCCACTAGCTTTCTTTCCTGAGGGGTCAGCAGTCAGTACATGCTGAGCCGGCTCTCAGGCCAGGCTTCACAGTCTTCATTTTTGTTTCAGGCACCCGAACATCCTCAGGCTGTATGGATATTTCCATGATGCCACCAGAGTTTATCTGATTCTAGAGTATGCACCCCTTGGGACAGTCTACAGAGAGCTTCAAAAACAATCCAAGTTTGATGAGCAGAGAACGGCTACTGTAAGTACTCATTCTTCCTTCTCTCATCTTCCTAATGTATCTTTCTCTATGGTGGAGTTGGCTCTCCTTCATAGAAACAGAAGAAAACCAAGACAGCTTATTGCCTCAGGTATATATAGAGTGGTTGGCTTGTGGCTGTTTTTTTATTGTTTTGTTTTTGTGGAAATGTGTATGATCTAGTTCCCTTGCCCCTTGCCATCTTTTCTCTCTCTCTCTCTCTCTCTCTGTATGTATATATACATTTATTTTAGCATAGGTCTAGACACAAAAATAACAATGCAGAGCTTCTGTTTGCTCACACTGTATTTCTCTATTACCAACAAGAACTTCAGTTAATATTATACTTTTGTCATAACTAAACCAATACTGGTGCATCGAAGTCCACACTTTTCTTCGGAGTGCTTTTGTTTTCCTTGTGACTAGAAAGGTGTTAAGTAACTTTTATTCAGCTGAGTTAATTGTTGTCTCCTAGACTTACTACCTCCCTCTGCTAACCTAGGCCTAGTCCTGGAAGCTTCTGGTCTCTGTACAATCTAATCTAGGCCTAGGATGCTTTCAGCCTCTGAGACTAACTGCTGAATAAGCTCACCCTTTCTAGTTCTTTCTGGAATCTGGTTGGCCGGTTCAACTCTGGCTCAAAACTACTCTCCAAGCTGACTGACTCTAACTGGCTTCTCTCAGCTTCTCACTGAATTGGCCTCAAATTAACTCTAGCAATCTGTTCTAATATTCTGGCTCCTTCTCATTCTCCCATTCATTCTGTCTTCACCTGTGTCTAGTTTGTTCTCTCTTTGACCTATCTCTGTAAACTCTCCCAGTAAAAGCTGCCTCTGAATTCCAGAAACTGAATTGCTACAAACTCAATTCCACTGACACTGCCTCTCAACTCACTGACTCCGCTGAACTGCCTGAACAGCACTGACTAGAACTCAGAGATCTGCATGTCTCTGTCTCCTGAGTGCTGTGATTAAAGGCATGCACCACCACATCTTTACCTGAAACCTGTTCTATAGCCTTGCACTCAAGACTTCTGCTTGCCTCTGGGGGTCCCCTGCAATTAAAGGCTTGTCTGAATTCCAGCCCAATCACACAGATCTCGAAGGTCTTTGGATGTGATGTCTTGCCAGAGCAGCCCTGTTCTGAATTAAAATTCCTCTACAAAAGGGGTGTGAGCACTGAGAAGATTTTGAATAGCGTTTTTTTGTCACACGTCAACATTGTGCATTTGTAACATGACCGCTTGCTAGGTGGTATAGTGTATAGTGTATAGGTGGTATAGTATAGTGGTATACTGTGCCTGGGGTGGTCTTGGTCCTTCTGTTTCCCCCTTCCCGTGCTGTACTCTCAGAGCCACTAAGTATGCTCGCCCTGAGGAGAGAGTGGAGAATGGCTTATTTAGAGTTGTGTGCTAGGAGGTTGCTTGCTCCTTCTGTCTTTGGTGATTTAGGTTTATTTTGCCAATATGGATATTTTGCTTGCATGTTTCTCTCTGCATCAGATGCACAGAGGCTAGAAGAGGGAGTCAGATTCCCTGGAACTGGAGTTTCAGATGGTTGTGAACACTCATGTAGGTGCTGGGCACTGAATCTGGGTCCCCTGGAAGAGCAGCCAGTCTCTCCTGTCTTTAACTTGGAATGCAGAGGACTTGTTTTATGATTAACCAGCACTGCTTTATTTTGTTGTTCCGGCATCAGCTGCTGGGACCTCATCCTGGCTCCCGTGTAAACCACCATTGTGGGGCTTCTGACTATCTGTGCTTTCTGGTGCAGAGTACCTGGCTTCATCTTTACTTCTGGGCCTGGTCCTAGAAGCAGCCTTTCTTCATCAAGGATCTTGGCTCCTTCTTTGGAGAATGATATTGGAAACTGAAGTCTTGTCTCTAGGGAGCACTTGTGCTGGCTGCTGCGTCTAGATCCTCAGCTGCAGAGAACAAGGGAGTGTTGTGTGTTTAGTGGTGTGTATTTATCTGTCCTGATGTAACGAGCGTGTACTGATGCTTGAGCTCATCTGTTACATGTGGGTCACTGAGGACACCCCGTCCCTGGGCTTCACCATACGCTGCACCCCAGCAGTGAGAGCAGCATCCATGGCCTCCTTGTTAGTTATGTATTCCAGCATGCACACGCAGCACGCGCATATGTGTGTGCATGCATGCACGCACACACTAAATTATGCCATGTGCCTGGGTCAGTGAGTGGCAGATGAGCATTCTTCATCTGGCATTTCTTGTTTGGAGGTTCTAGCAGGGGAGCGCAGCTACTCGTATACCCTTGATCAAAGACTGGTCCTCCTCTATTCGGGGAAGGTCGTCCTCTTTGACCAAGCGCGCAGCTTCGGGAGGGAGGGGACACCCGCCTAGCCAGCCAGATCAGCCGAATCAACCCTGGTGATCAATGGGGTGACAGATGTTGCAGCCAGATCGCCCTCACATCCCTCATCTGGCCTCTATCAGGGTTTTGGACATCAGTGGTTCAGAAGGGCTGTAGTCGTCTGTCCCTGTTTTGGTTCGTCATTTCCTAGTGGCATATGATACTGGCTGTTGGCCATTTATATATGCCATTAGATGTACGTATCTCTCTTGCTTTGATACTTTTTTCCCCCACTGCTGCATGTTGGTTACTTTAGCTCCTTTATTGTGTGAGTCCTGTTGATGTTTCCTCCCAGGCTGAGCCTTTCCCTTCTTTTCCACCCCTTTCTCAAGGCAGTTTGTGGTTTTTCGTTCCTTAAAGCACAGTCTTTTGCTTTCAAAGCTTGTCTGCTCACCACATGCTGGAATTAAAGGCTGCCACTGTGCCCACCTGACTTACAGCAACCCCTACTAGTCATCTCCTTCCTTCCTCCCTCCCTCCCTCCCCCCTCCCTCCTCCC